GCATCGATCGGTTAAATGTGAGACTTTTCACACCAAGGGGTTTTTATTATACCACATCACACATTTGGATTGTCCGATTCTGTGTAATACACAATTGGGTATGGCGTATACGTATTATGTTTCACACAAACTTGCCTGATTCACAACTGTTCTAAATAGACTGTAGGTTTTCGTCTGAACTTTCGTTTTCGGTTTTTGCAAGAATTTATCTAAACCATAGAAAGATGTTTTAACAGATTGTTATAATGATTAGCAAATTACCTCGGAAATCTTTTCTAATCCCGTGAATACTAAGCTGGTGTTCTTCCAAGAACTCGACATTTTAGCCCTCCTAATTGGGAGTTGGAACCATATCGACCGAGATAAAAGGTTGACGAAGGAAGTATGACTGCAGAGAAGGTGGAAGTAAATGTTTGTTAATTTGTTGTGAATTCGAAGACAACAATTAGAAACGATGAGTGAATTGGGATGTGATGGCCGAAGGATCCAGAAGCACAATGAACTGATAACAGTCCGTTATGATTTGACGACCGTATTGGGTTACTGGACAAAATCCTGCTCAGTGACCGAACTAGTGATCCTATTTCTGTCGAAACCTTGTTCGAATAATGTGGATTGTTTCATCGGAGACATATCAAGTAGACTCTTGTCGCTCAGGTGTCTATTTTCAATTTTCCAAGCTGTCTTGATCAATCCCATTTCTTTTTGCGTGACTATCAAGTCAAGTTACGGCTTTGTGTAACTCAGTGGGGGTCAATATTCGTCAGCCTCATAACACCCATTCATCAAACAATATACAATATAATAGCAATAAATAAACAAAAACAATAACAAAAAACGTCAACGGTACCGCAGCAAGGAAAAGCTGCTAAAGATAAAATTCAACTGTGGTTGGAAATCTCGATGTTTGAGTTTGGAAGAAGTCTAACTGAACAAAGAACAGCAGAAGGTCCCAAGACCTCAGTGTCGCTTCTGTCGTAGCTATTCTCAGTGGATAAGAAAGCAAGACATGTATTACGGTCAACAAGGAGTCGATAAAAACGATTGGATACACTTTTGTGGAGAAAAAATTTTCATTGTTCAAGTTCAGTAGGTGTAGGTTCGCTGCTCAGTCTGGGTTTAAACCTGCTGAGAAGTCGCATATCACGGAGTCCACGAAAATTTGCTAAGGTTCAGGCATTGAGAATGAGGAAACATTGCTACACCATGTATTATGGCAAACCGATAAGAACCAACCATTATCTCCCATATGGTTAACGCATCAGGCGGACTACCCCTTGTGGTCAGGTAGAAATCCCAATGGATTCAGCCGATATGCAGTGCTGCGAATCCCTAAAAAGGGTGAAACAGCTGCACAGTGCTTCGCCGGGTCTTATCTAATGAGTGATATCTTGAGTCAGCTAATCTGGTACAATTTTATATACAAACCGAGGATACGAGGCTATTTTGCATGAAAAAAGCACAATTCGGTCGGCCTTGGAGGAGATATGATCCTCGTAAACCAAATACTACATCGCCCTAACGACCCGTGTAGTGCTCTACTGAGACTATCTAGGACTGACCACCCCAGGGGACATTCTTTAAAGTTTTGCTCCAAAAGACTTCCGACGTCACTATTTCAACACCAGAGTATGTGCAACATGGAACTCTCTTCTGTCCCTAGTTCTTTTTATTCTAGCGATTGCCTCGTCCGAGTTGCGACTCGACAATGCATTGAAAAATCTAACTAACCAAAACCCGTGAATGAACATGAAAATTGATTGTTTCCTCATTTTTATTGTACTAATATCCGAATCCAGTATGCAAAGATCCGTTGGTGTTTAACAAGCTTTAGGTCTGTCATTCACTCTTAGTAAAATGTTGATTTTCTATTCGAGTAAATGCACGACTGGAAGACCTGTGGGAGGAAAAAAACAGAGATGCAGTAAGATCTTATAGATCGCCTTGTTTAGAGGGTAGCGGCTAAAATAAACCCTTGCTTGATTTCGCTTTAATCAAACCAGCTCAATCTTAGTGAGTGTTCTTTTGCATTATAGGGTAGACTAAATGCTAGTTGCTATTCAGTCTGTTGTGGTTTGATGAATATGATAGGAAGAATTTCCAAATATTGAGTATGAGAGCAATAATAAAAATCGTATTTATAATAATAGTCATTTACTCCCTTACTATGTACTGTGTATGCGTTGATACCGATGATTCTCGGTTTTTGTGATTGTGGTCAATCAACATCTACTTTGTGCATACAGAACATTATCCGAGTCACTATGAACCTAACCCTCACTGTTTGATCACCTTTCACTAACCTCTCCGGAGCCGTCAAAATCACCGCCAGTTTATCGACTGACCAT